GGGCGACGGGTGAAGGCGGCGGGGCGGTCGCCGGCGGGCGGGCGGTGACGGCGGCGCGCGGGCCGCACGGGCCAGCTGCGGGCTGGACGGGCCGGACGGCGAAGACGGCGGGGAGTGCCACGTGGCGCTCCCTGGTTGGCTGGGCGCGGCGGCGGGATTCGTCCGGTCCGATCCGGACGTGTCCGACGGCGGAGAGGGAGCGGGGCTAGGGTTAGGGTGGAAATCATCCGTGAATTTCGGGGGAGAATGTGTTTATATAGGTAGAGGGAGCTAGGAGAGTCCAAATGAGGAACGGTTTTCGCCCACACGATCGTGATCGAACGACCGAGAGCATGGAGGGGGTTTGGATGGGCTCACGGGCTGTGGAAGGGGGGTTGGGCTGCAAAGAGAGAGGGGTTTCGGGCTACGCGGTTAACCGTTGGGGCATCAAATGACCTCCAAATGGAACGAAATTTGACGGGCGGTCTACCGGTGCTATACCAAGGACACTCGGCAAACCTCGGTCCATTCCGAGAACGTTTTTATCCCACTCATGAAACAAGGTCCGAGAGGGGACGACGGGCGCGCGCGAGAGGTCTGGACTCCGAACGGACAACAGAGAGAACCGGGGGAACCCGAACGGATGCAAGTTTTGAAAAACATGTAGATGAAATGCAGATGATGACATGGCAAAATGCAACACGCAAGCAAATGACATGGCAACGACGGCGAATAACTGGTGGACACCTGGCGCATCGGATCCGGGGCTTTACTTGGAGAGCCAGTCCCAGACCAGCTTCGCAGTATCCAGAGCACTCACATGACCATACTGCCCTTTGGTCAGATGACCACAAATGATATTCTTGGCAGTTGAGTCCAGTTGAACGAACTTCTTGACATCAGCAGGAGTGACACCTTCACCAGTCTTGGCAACGCTGTTCTTAACAACATACCAGAGATCGATATCAATGGCTTCAAGATGCATACGCATCTTATTCTTCCAGTAGGGGTAATCAGTCCCATCGAAGACAGGGCACGCAACGGAGACTTTGATTATCCCTGCAGTCGACATAGCTAAAACTCCAGGTGGTTAAACTGAATCACACAGAACAAGGGAGCGCCTTGCTCTGATACCAATTGAAAGTGCTAGTATTCGACTAGAGGGGGGGGGGTGAATAGGCCATTTTTATGAAAGTCTTCAAACAGGGTTGTTTCAAAGACAAACAATGGAAATGTATCCTATAGATATGCAGCGGAAGGTAGACTACACTAGACAAGCCATAGTCAAGTAGTAATGCAGTGAAAGCACGAAGACTATGAGCATCTAGGTAGAAAGGATCAGGATGGAAGATAGTATGAAGCCAAACAGACAATAGTCTTCACACAGTAAAGTAAAATAGATCAGGCAAGCAGGCAAAGACTTCATGAAGACAAACTGTAAGTAAGGTGAGAGAGGTAGGATAGAACCAGTTGCTCGGAGAGGACAAGGGATTTGTTGGACCAGTTTCAGTTGCTGTGACAACTGTATGTCTGGTTAGGAAGGCTGAGATTCAACTCAGAAGATCGTGTCTTCACCTTATCCCCCTTGAGCTAAGAACACTTAGTCCTCGCCCAATCACTCTGGTAAGTCTTCAAGGGAGACTTTCAAACCTTCACAAACTCCGTTCACCGGCAATCCACAATGACTCTTGGATGCTCAGAATGCGACGCCTAACCGTCTAGAGGATTCACAGTCCTCAAGTGTAATAAGTTTTCAGATCACGCAGACAAAAAGACTTCAGTGATGCCTAACACTCTTTGGCTCTGGGTGTTTTGGGCTTTGTCCTCGCAAGAATTCTCTCTCAAAGGCTTCGGAGGTGGGTTGCTCTCAAACGACAAAAGCCGTGCACTAACTCTGAGCAGCCACCAATTTATGGTGTAGGGGGTGGGCTATTTGTAGCCAAGAGGCAACCCGACCTGATTTGTCCAAAATGACCCTGGTCACTAAGGAACTGACACGTGTCCAATGGTCAGATTTCAAACACACGCGATAGCTTAACTTAGGCTACAAGCCAAGCTGACTCATCCAGCTCTGGATAAGATTTACTCTCATTGTCTTTGCTCGAAGACATAGGATTTGGTTGAGCATCACATCAGTCACTCTGGCTTTGTTCACTGGGACCCCACTTAACAGTACGGTGGTTCCTATGACTCAACAAAGAAGAAAAGGAAACTCGAAACAACTATGTCTTCGCACTCCATACTCTTCACGAGATGTCTTCTCCGTCATAGTCTTCAATGTGAATGTCTTCACAGACCACCATTGTCTTCAATGTCTTCACACATTTTTAGGGGTCATCTCTGGTAGGTAAACCGAATCAATATGAGACTACTACGTGTGTTATCCTGCAATTCTCACAAACACATTAGTCCCTCAACCAGGTTTGTCGTCAATACTCCAAAACCAAGTAGGGGTGGCACTAGATGCACTTACAAAACCCCAACACGAGATTTATGTAGTGACATAAATCTTTTTATGAAAGCAAAGAGACAATCTTGATAACTTGTTATAGTTCCAGGTGGCAATTAATTACAAGTTCTAGCATCTTCTCCAAGTGAGAAAAGGAACAACTCCTCCAAGTGAGAAAGGGAACAACTTAAGCATAAAGTGGGGAAATATAGTGCTCTTATTCATAAAAATGTTTAGCAGAATCTTCAAATTTATGGATATAAGCAAACATGAAAAATTATATGTATTTTTAGTTTTAGCTCTCATATTATTACTTTAAATATTCATGTTCTACACAACATAATATTTATTGTATTATACTACTTATTAAAAAGAATGTAAAGTTTCCATTTCACCCTTTCCGTCATCCAATCTCTTTATGGACGTTCCCCCTCCATCCTGTTTTTTGATTTGTTCCCCCATCTCTGATTTTTCTCTCATTTGTTTTCCCTAAAAACCGACTCAATCATCCCAACTTATCAAATTTTTTTGGGAAGTCAAGTAGTTTTTACCAAAATTGTACTCCCTTTGTCCCATAATATAAGACATTTATTATACTAAAAATATGTAAAGTTCTCATTCCACCCTTTCCTTCGTCCAATCTCTTTATATACGTTCCCCCTCCATCCTCTTTTTTGATTTGTCCCCCCATCTCTGATTTTTCTCTCACCCACTTTTCCTAAAAACCAACTCAATCGTCCCAACTTACCGAAATAAAATAAATTTTTTCTCTAGCAAGTCAAGAAGTTTTTGCCAAAATTGTACTCACCCCGTATTATAATATAAGACAATATTGCATCCGTCTTGTATTATGGGACGGGGAGAGTACTTGATAACAAGATGGCAGATAAATAATAGTGATTTGTTTTTCTTTCATATATTAATAAGTTCTTACCAAGTAAGTGCTTATAAAGATAAATCATGGTGATTGCGTAAAAACTTGCTAAGATTTTAGCACAAAATATGATAATAGATGTGCAGTCATAGCCTAATCTACTAGAATGTTTATGCATCCATTGCAACGCACGGACAATTACCTAGTCAAACTAAAATACAGCACAAAACATTTTCGCAACAAAACATTTTAATACTCCAGTATTTTTCTCTCGGCAAATTATTTAAAATACATGCAACCGTTAAAAGGCCGCGGTAGAGAAGCAGAAAGAACTCCCAGTCGCAGGCCCCGACTCGAGCCCGCCCGAACCCAGACCAACACCCACAGTCCAAAAGCTCCAGAGCGACGGGAACCCACCACCACTCTCTCGCCCGAACCACGCGCCGCACCGAGCCCGCACCCGCACAGCCCATCGGCGACCTCGCCGGAGCGGAGAAGAGAGAAGAAGGTGAGTGATGGAAGAGGCGGCGGCGGCGGCCGGCGTGCAGCTGGGCACCTCGAAGCCGCAGATCGCGACCCAGGCGGAGATGGCGGAGGCGCGCCTGCCGATCCCCTACCGCGACCAGTGCGCGCACCTCCTCATCCCGCTCAACAAGTGCCGCGTCGCCGAGTTCTACCTCCCCTGGAAGTGCGAGCCCGAGCGCCACTCCTACGAGAAGTGCCAGTACGAGCTCGTCATGGAGCGGATGCTCCAGATGCAGAAGATCCGCGAGGCGCAGGCGGGCGCCAAGGTCAAGGGCAGCGTCACCATCGGCGTGCCCCTCGCCCCCTCCACCGCCAAGCTCGCCTGATCCGTCAGATTCAGGTGAACCGCCCGCTCCTTCCCATCATTTATTTTCCATTCGAGGCATTGCGTCAACATTAATTAGGTTGATTGGGCGGGGTTCCGTGAATAGCTAGGGTTTGCGGTAGGATAGTTGACCCCTATTTCCGATTGCGAGTCGATTGCATCGGGTTCGACTCAAATTCACGGGATGCTGGCAGACGTTTAGAGTCTAGATCTGTAAACCGATGTATGCAGGGGATCTGGGATCCGCTTTCATGCCATATCCTTGCATTTCACTGTTGCTCCGTCCATTTCTGTTGTTATTCTGCAGTTTGTACTTTTTGAGTTGTGAATTGTGAATGTTTCGAGCTTACAGTGCTTTGACAGTGCAAAAAGGGATTACATAGGTGTAAAGCTAACACGAATCCCTGTGTGTTTGGCCTGTGGATTATTCATTCCGGAGTTTTATACTTCTGTTGAGTTGTCAAATGTGAATATTTTGTGGCTATAGAGCTTTTGAAATGCGAAAAAGGATTACATAGGTGTAAATAAAGCTAACATGAATTCCTGCTGTTTGGCCTGTGGATTTTTGTAGAGCTTCAAAACTAATTCATAATCTATTCTGGAATTCTTTTTTTGTAGCACCAGTGAAGCATTACAATTTTAGACTAGTCTTAGCAGCAGAGGGGCTATCTGTTCTGATTATGTGTTGAATTAGAAAAGAAAAGCTTCATCAACAAACTTGCTACCTTACTATCTCAGTCTCTGTGTCTCCATCAATAGGTGACATTTTGCGGTTAGTGATTTACTAGCAACTACAACTAGTTGAGAAGCTCTCCATTGCCATAGACAGGCTAACAGGGCCTCCATTCAATAAATGGAAACAGAAACAGGGATCTTTTTTAGCGTCGTCCATTTCAATAGAGAGATAAAGAACTCTAGAATTCGTATAAAATCTCACGGTTGATTGCATACCAACTATGAAGTAAATGAGTTATCAAAAGGTAATGTAAGGCAGATGCATTAGGTGCATTGAATTGATGAATTCAAGCAAGAACAGGAAGTGTGAGAATGGTCCGGGCTACTGAATGTAACCAGAAATCAACAGATATATGTACTGGTTTCTAAATAAAGTTGTGCCTTCACCTATTCATCGAGCTGGTTAGATAACAATATGATTTATGAACTCAAAACAACCAAGAAGACGAGGTATATTTTCACGTAGACTATTGAAACTGGAAGAACAAAGGGTTCACTATAGTTAAACACGATGCATTTCGCAGTCAGTGGCGGATCTACCACTGGGTCGAGCTGGTCTTTTCAGTTTCCCTCCGGTGGGGAACGGCAGCGCTGCTGTTTGCCTGTTTATGCGACCTCTGCGCGTGAAGGGGTACGTGAGGTTTAGGGAGAGAAGGTATTTGGGCTTGGGCTGGAGTGATTGAACTTAAGGCCCAACGTGGATCGGACGTCACGTCCATGTGCAGCCAGGCAGCCACCACGGACGGTCTCTGAATCAAAAAAATGCCAGCATGGAGAGAAGGTATAGGTCGTAGTGCTATTTGTGAGGCACACAAGCTAGTAAAATTCTGGTACTCAGATCAATATCGTCATATTTGGCTAGGGGTTCCTCATGACCCATTTGCATCACTGCTATAATTTCTTTTGATAAATAAAGTTGTTAGCAGGTTCACTAAAAATATAACCAGACACCAAAACAATCTAGGCCTCTCCCCCAAATCATCCCCTTCCTGAGTCGGCCAACTTCCTGAGCCCTAATCCACTCTCGCGCGCTGCCGCTCCGTGCGGTGCTGCACCCTCCTGCTGCTCCATGCCACTCCTGCCTGCTGCACCACCGCCTGCTCCAGGCTGCTGCTTCCCGCGCCGCCCGCTCCTTGTCGTACTGTGGTATCAAGTGAGTATTTCAAGCATCAATAGTATGTTAGTTGTTCTCCTGGTTGTTTTATGCCTTTTCATGTTCTTAGTAGTTGAATTTCATGAGTTTTGCTTGAGTAGACTTGCATTTGTAACTTAAATTTTAGACCTTAAATGTTTCGGCCCGGCTAAGCTCATTCCTGGGTCTGCCACTGTTCACAGTCACCAGGAAACACATACTTGAGGTCAAATGCCAACAGATATAGGCAGCTTGTCAATATACTGGCATACAGCAAAGCCCAATCAAAGAATGAAAAAAAACATAAGGTCACACAGCTGAGAAAATTGTCATTCGGATCTTTTCTTTTCTTTCTGCAAATATGTTGTCATATCCAATTCAATGATTTAGATTTTTACACTGAAAAATTGCCACCAAAAGTTAGATGCCACATGGTCACCTGTTGAACTAGTTAATCAAGTGAGAAACACCATAGCTTGCTTTGTTTTATATTGGTGATGATTCATATTTGTGCTGTACAATTAGTTATTAGTTCTGTCTGCTTCTAGCTAAGTCACTTGCTTTGTTTTAGAAGCTTCTCCAACTTAAGCTTAACAGGGGTAGCCTTTCTAATTCATCCAAGAAACCATCATAAGAAGTAACTCAAAAGAAATGAACATATGTGAAACTTCAGTTTTTACCTCACATTTGCAGTCAGTCAAGTTCTTTGCCCACTCATGATATGTTGAGAATATCACGGATGTGATATATAAGGAATCTTTTGAATCTGATCCCATATGGCTGCAAACCGTCCACTGTAAATCATGTCTTTTTAGCAGTTCCACGGTCTTGTCTGTTAACTCTGTTTGCAGCCTGTGACAACAAGAAACAAAGGACATAATAATGCCATACGTACAACTAGTGTCCTTTGGGTGCTCGAGGCCACTGCAAAGTATCCCTGTACTTCCAACTTAACACGAGTAACCTGTATAACTGATGCAAGGAACCATCATGGGATCTAGCTCAAAGACAGACTTCAGTTTTACCTTACATTTACACCAGGAGTCCTTTGCTAGCCCGTGACATGTTGAAAACACAATGGATGTGATATTTAAGGAATCTTTCGGATCTGATCTAGCCCATATGGCTGCAGACCGTCCACTGTAAACCCTGTCCTTTTAGCAGTTCCACGCACGATCTTGTCTGATAATTCTGTTTGCAGCCTGTGACAACAAGAAACGAAGGACAGAATAATGTTGTACATACAACTAGTGTCCTTTGGGTGGTCCAGGCTAATTTGTTCCATTAATAGTAACTGCAAAGGAATCCCTGCACACGAGTAACCTGTCTAACTCATGCAAGAAACCATCATGACATCTTGTTCAAAGAAATAGACTTCAGTGTTACCTTACATTTGCATCGGGAGTCCTGTGCTTACCTGTGACATGTTGAAAACACAACGGATGTGATATTTGAGGAATCTTTTGGTCTGATCTAGCCCATATGGCTGCAAACCGTCCACTGTAAATCATGTCTTTTTAGCAGTTCTGCAATCTTGTCCGATGATTCTGTTTGCAGCCTGTGACAGCAAGAAGCAAAGGACAGAGTATAATGGCATACCACAACTAGTGTCCTTTGGCTGTTCCAGGCTCATTCGTTCTGTTAATAATAACTGCAAAGGAATCCCTGCACTTATACTGTATGTGGGGTACTCTTTCCTTCGGACTTGGTGCATCATGACATTTTGATGTGAAGGTTTTTGGCATTTGCAATCTTTTCTATGCTGCCCATCAGGTTTTGTCGCCTTTGACTGTTCATTTCGGGTATATGGGGTGTCGGTCCATTCAGGCCAAAATTGATAGGTGTTGCTCTGTTATCTCATTCTCCTAAATGACAATGACCTTCTGAGGGGTTTGTCTCCCATGTAAATTCATCACTACGCCCTTTGATGTCTACTGGTGGTATGTGTTAGATGGTTAATGTTTGGGACAAGAGTTTCTTCCCTATCCAGTTGGCATGAGGCTAACATTTTGGCCTGAATCTGGGTCAGAAAATGTGGCTCTGTTCTTTTTTTTTACCCTTCAGTGGTGACACTTCCTGTCTGAAAGCCCACTTGATTGTATTTTTCTGCAGCGCATATTCGTCACTAAATCATCATACTCCTAATTGACGAATAATGGATTCCTTTTGGATGTGCAGGAGGGGTTGGTGGCTAGAGCTCGAAGGGCGCTGTGCTCGCAAGGATCATGAATGTTGTTCTTGTATGAACGAAACATCTGTTTGAATTCGGCATAAAGTTAACTCTTTCTTTCTTGGTCTTGTTCCCCTCCACCTTCCCTCCTTTGGTTCAAGTTTAAGTTTGATGGAATAAGGAACCAGCTGTCTTCCTATACTCGACGAGTGAAATGGCAAGCTTGAAGTTTTGAATGCAGTGCATGGCCTCTGCTTTTGCATCTGCCTTGATGTAGTAGGAGCCTATTTTACAACATGAATATCTCTCCTTACGATCTGCTGCTATATTAACCTTGTGAGATTACTGGTTATTGTGGCCACAGGTTCTTCCGTTCGAGCCTTGTCAGCAATGCATCCTACGTACTGTGGGAGTTGCGGTTACTCGTATTGGGCGGAACAGATCTAATAATTCTTTTATTCCACTTATTAAGAGGGATCTTGAACTAAGAAATAGACCTACCAGCTAAAAGAGGGTATCCTGAGCAATTACAAAAATGGGGTTCATTGATATTCTCGTATAGTAGATGCTATCATATGTACAGTCATACTCAATCCGATGGAGGATCTTTTATAGTTTCACACATAAGAGGATATTTCTTGGTTTCATCCAGTCATTAATAACTTAATTTTTTTAGATAGTAGTAGATAGGCAGAATGCTCGTATGGAGTTCTATTGAAACCAAGAAATATAGGCCTGCTTGCCATCCATACCAAAATGTATAGAGTTTTCAAAGAAACCGGCTACTAGAGGAAGGCCACCTAGGGATAAGAGACATAGGGATAAAGAGAGAGCCAAAAATGGAACTGTCATGTATAATCCTGCATAATTTTGAATGTTATTAGTTTCGGTACATAGACCAAATAATACAATGCAAGCAAAAGTTCCTAGATTCATGGAGATATAGAAAACATATAAATTATCA